TATAATATATAAATAAAAGCTAAAAAGTGTGTATAATAAATCCCCTAAAATAATTATGTATTGACATAAAAGCTTCTTTTATATTTTCCTTAATGTTTCTTAATGAACAGTAAACATCAACATGATTAAAATGATCAATTTTTTAAGATTATTTGGAACTATCAGATAAAATGACAAAATGTTACCAATAACATTAAAACACCTATAGGCTTTTATTAGAAAAAAAAGAAGCCAAAATTAAAATTTAACAGCACACAAATATGTGTTTGATACTGACCCCTAATTAATTTATTCCAATGTTCACATGAATGTAAAAAGTATCAAGTGAATTACCTCAAATATGCATTAGGAATTTTTTTCTTTTTAATAAACAATCCTATTAAAATTGCAAAAGAAGTGTTTTGAAAATCATTGGGCAAGGTAATTATCACTTTGTCAAGCCTCTTCATTTTAATTAATTACCTACATAATGTGACTTCATCTCATCCACAACTCAAATTGTGCCAAAAACCACAACAAAAACAGATTAAATACACTACTAAATTAACAAGTTACAAAAAAGATAATAACAAAATAAATACCACAAACATCTCAAAAGCAGCGCTGTTATTAGACTGTAAAAACAGTTTATTCATCATATTCAAGCAATCATACCTTTTCATCTAATTTATTCTTGTCCATACTGGTCACAGTCCTATTTTTCACAATACAATCACTCATACCTCCAGAGTTCAATTCGGGTCCAACACCCAAAAAAACATTGATTGGAAGAGACCCTGAAACAGCACTACTTACTTGATACCAATGTCTGAAAAATAAATAGAAAATGTGTTGACTCACATTATAATATCATAAAAAGTCGTATATACTTGATTAATTAAGCAAAATGTAATGAAATCAACTTTTTTTTAAGAAAAATTTAGAAAACCTGTGTACTTAACATTCTGGAGAGGTATGATAAATAATAAACACTATAAAAAAAAATAATTTCTGAAGCACTAATGTACATATTTTAATCAACTAATATTATTAAGTTTTCAAACATTCCATGACTTCCAACAGAAATTTAAGTTTTAATTTCTTCTTACCAAATCCACCACATTAAAACAAGATGCTAGGGGAAGCGATTCCATTTTGGTTTCTTTGCTTCTACTTATTTATTATCAGTATAATCTGTTATGGGTTATGGTGATAGAAGCATAACATAAAATGTACATAAACAGTTTGAGTAAAAATTGAAAAGATAATTTGCAAGTTTACTGTATTTTGTACATGGGTGCAAATATTTAAGACACAAATGACATTTAAACAAGGTCTGCAACAAAGACTTGAAAATCTTCAAACACAAGAGATCATGTAGAAAGATTTCATCTTGATAAGTTGTACGTAAAACGTAAATATGCACGCATATATTGCTATATTAACATAATTTTCAGAGAAATGTTGTAGATATGAAAAGTGTTTATTGTATTCTTGCCACTTAAACTTACACTATTTTTCGATAACTAAGCTCTTTCATTTCAAAAAATAAATTAAATATGTAATTTTCACAATTTTCGCACGTTTACTTTGTGTACCATTATAAGTAGTTTTTTATTTTCTATTCTTGAAGAATATCTCATTGAACACATATACTTATACATTTCTTTCAAAGCAAGTTCATGTATTTTCTCTGAATATTATGTTAATAAAGTATAATTTTGGGTGCATACTTGCGTTGTACTTATACCAGAATGAAATCTTTTTACATGAGCTCCATGGTTTGAATTCACCATTCACATTTAAATGTTTTAAACGTTTGTAGACATACATAAATGAAATATGTGGTACAAAATACAATAAATATGAAATTCGTCTTTTTAATATCAATTCAACTGATTACTCATGATTACTGCAGGTTAAATACGTTTTATGGATAAACAAATTTTATGTAATATGATAATAGTTGAACTTCTATGGCTACAACCCTTTGTATATCTATTATCTATGGATAATATGGAAATACGCACGTGCAGGAAAAGGATCCTTAGGGGTTGATAGATCCATACATAAAACCATTTCCTAAAGTACACAACAAATAACTTGACCAATACAAAAATGACTTATAACCAACTTTTTGAAAAATCGATATCTTATCCTTTCTTCTCTGTTGTTTTATAGATTGTTGTACATTCATCCAACCTAACCGCAAACCATAGATAATAGCCGCAAACTAAATTATCATCCAAATATATCTATATACATATACATTATATAAATTCCATAGATAATACAAACTGTGCAGGTCAGTGGGTGAATACAGGGTGTTTTCCATTTTATAAAATTTAACAGCTTCATCATCCTCTTTCTAAATCGTCTTAAAATTGACGGTAAAAAAAACGACAATTCGATGCTTGAGTAATTATTATTGAAATTCGGCTTTGGCTTGAATGACTTACTTTTGTAATATCTTCCATGGGCTTGCATGCTCCACTTTTTTTTCAGTTTTTTATTTGTAAATGCACACTGACAATTTATTTATCTCAGGGAATTCTTCAAAAATTTAGCATAATAGTTTTTTTATATTTAACGGGTTCTATTGATCAAACTGGTACTTTTGTATGTATATTTCTCGTAGAATTTTTGTAATAAATTTTACGTTCTATAAAAATGGCCAATCCATTTTAAATTAGCTCGCATAGACTATTTATTGTTATCAGCACATACAGTAACTTGTGGAACCTGAAAAAACTGTTAATTGATTGAATCGTAAAAACCATAAATTTCATAGACGCTTAACATACCGCTTCGTACTTAAAACTTTTACCCACTTCATATTCTTTATCATTTAACTGTTACACTATTGTCCTGAGAAATTTGAATTAAATGTTAAACACGTATTTAATACATTGGTTTCAAGTTTTGCAATATTAAAATCCGACTTTTTATAGTGTTAAAAATGTTTCTAAACATAATTTGAAGTAAACAGAAAAGAAAAGCAATCCAATGTTAATTAGCAGATGAAGTAACGTCGAATGTAACTAATTTGTTTGAAAGGGAGAGAAGAATAAAAAAAGGCTCGAATTATTAAATTCTCATACTTTATTTTTGTGAAATGTTTAACACTAATCCTAGATGAAAAAAACTAGTAATAAATTAAAGTCGAAATAAAAATTAATTTCACGAAGGAAAAAGAGGAAGGGGTTTAAGGAATAGAACGAAGAAATGAATTTGACGATTAGGAAAAAAATTATCCCGATGAAAAACGAGTGTTTTCCTGTTTTAATCGAAAAGAATTATAAATATTGCACTGGCTGCGGGGTCGTAGAGATTGTCAGTATTATCATTTAATAAATGGTAAATGGATAGCAGCAGCATGGGCGATTTTAGTTACCACTGTAACAATTATGTATATAGACAGTTTTTATAGTAATAATGGTAGTAGTAGTAGTAGCAGCAATCGATAAAAAAAAATGGTAATAGTAAGAAATAGCGGAGGAGGCGTAGTAACACGGCACTACCACACGCGGACGCGGAATGTAGTCAAATAACACATGATAAACAAGACAATATTGTATAAATTATAAATAAGTCCTATTTTTCACAATACANCTCCATCACATCATTATAGAGCTACCGACACAACACTTACAGTCTGTAAAAATTGCCTAATATATTAATTAATCAATTAATTAATTAATAATTACTATAATACAGCTCGCTATTATTCGTAACTTTCAGCTTATAAAAAAAAAAGGAAAAAAGTAAAAATGAAAATAAAAACAAAAAAATAATATAAGCAACGTAGTAGTTTCTTTATAGTAGTGTGGGTGCGGAGCTATGCACAGTGTGTACATCACCCCCTCCTTCGCGGGGGGAGGGGTAACAATCCGCCACTTTAGTATGTAGTATTTTTTCTTAATATTCTTGTTCGATAAATAACACAGCCTCGCGAAGCCAAATACTTTTAGGTATCGCAACGTAGTTCACATTCGTTTCACACTTTTTTTTGTTTTGTTTAAAAAGGTAAAACATTTCACTATATTATGATCATTATTATTATTATTTTAGTAATTACTCATCATAACGTGTATACGTGTGTGTGTGTGTGTGTCTCATCATGTATTGTGGTGTATATGTAATGATATCTATGTTACATAATATTAAACATATGTACAACTCTTATGCAATTTATCAACGATACTAACTACACAATATCGTCCAGTCAATCTTAAATTAATTACACTTTTTACAATATAAATACAAAGGCGGCACGGAGACCAGTCGAAATCTCTTATTAGAATAAGTATACTTCAGTTAAATAAATCAATATTTATTTAGACCACTGTTTAAATTTTTTTTGTACAGTCACACAGCACCAGGTTGTCTTAAATGTTGTCTTTCTTCTTTTCGTTATCTATCTCTCCCCTTCCTGTTTATCATCAAAGAAATATCTACTACTTTTCTTTTCTCAAAGCGCTTACCCGTTGCTTTCATTCGATTCTCGTCGCTTTGAATAACAACAACAAATAACAACAAATTGACGACGAAACAATAGATACTATTATTTTTATGACAAAACAGTCAGGTCAGTCAATCATCAGCCTTGATTCATTATAAGATTTTTCTCTCTGATAATATAAAACCATTCTATCGTCGTTCATCGCCACTAAAGCTGCTCCACAAATTTACTGAGTTGATCTTGAGGGGTCATTGGAGGCACGTCGTTGCCGTCCTGACCTTGGCCATTAGGCGACGTGTGCGTGTGCAAACTGTTCGTATGATTTTGACCTAACAACATCTCGGAAGCGGCCAAATCATGAGGGGACGGTTGAGGACCACGCGGACTCGGCACCGGCTGATTACGCGGACTCGGTATAGGACGCGGAGATGGGTTTGGTTGCGGACTGCGTATAGGAGGCGGACTCCGCACACTTTGCATTAGCTGTTGCTGTTGTTGAACCGAAATACCACCCGGCGGCGGACCCATTACACCCTGTGGCGATGGCACTGGTGGTGGCGTTGGTTTGAGACCCTGAATTGGGGGGTATTGTTGGTCAGCGAACGAATTATTATATGACGACATATGCGGCTGTCGGATCGCGGGCAGTCTTTGTTGGTAGGCGGGCGGCTGTTGAAACTGTTGCTGTTGTTGTTGCTGTTGCTGCTGTTGTTGCTGTTGTCGCTGTTGCATTGCTAACAACTGTTGGTGTTTGTACCACTGCTGTTGTTGCTGGTTCATTTGTTGAGCTGCAATTATTTTTTATTGTTATTTTTGTTTGGTCGAATTAACCTTATCGTGCACGAAAGATAATTCTAGACTAAATTTTTCATATCTTCTGAGTCATAAGCAGTTTACATATTCTTGGTAAGGATCGTACTAACAATCGAGGACCAGGGAACGGAAGCGGTTATAGGTAAGCAATGTTTTAACGAATATAATGTGGTAAGAGTAAAGATGTTGTATTAATAAAACCACCTTCTTTAAGATAGTAAATACAAAGACAGTAGCGCAACCGCTACTTATTATCTAGTGAATTCAGTTTTCTTTTTAACGATAATAAATTAAAATAAAATGCTACCTTGAGGTCCAGGAGCAGGTCCTTGTCCAGGTCCTTGGCCCAGCATTGTCTGCATTTGCATTCTGTTCTGGTGCTGTGGTGGAGTCGGTTGCTGACTCAACATATGCTGTAACTGTTGTTGAGATGCCCCCGTTACTCCTGCGGCTCCACCACCCTGTTGCGCTTGCGCCTGAGCCTGTTAAGCAAAAATTATATCAAAATACATCACGCAAATAAAAAAATTCTTTAAAATTAACGCTTATTTAAAATTGCCAGTGACACAATGAAATTAGTAAAATATCTATACTAAACAAAACAATATTGCCAACCTGTCTCTGCTTTATAAATGCAGCCATCAACGGTGGGTTTGTTTTTAATATAGCTAATATTTGTTGCTGTTGCTCAGCAGAGTGCGGAGATCGTAGCGTCTGCATTAGTTGATGCAAGGCCTGTTTATGCATCATATTGCCGCCGGATGTATTAAGACCACCCGCTCCCGGCCTGACCGTTGGCGAGGCGCCCTGCATAGGAGTGCCGCTGAGTTGGTTCTGTGTCGGCATCAATTGCGGCGCCGCCTGACGCAAGCCTTGACCGGCACCACCAGGATATCGTTGCTGCCACTGTTCCATAGGTAGTAAGTTACCCCCTGAGCAAAAACGAAAACAAAAACAATTACGAATAGTATTATTTCGTAAATAAGCCAACTGAGAGATAAATATAGAATTCTGATTTAGTTTTCTTTTATTATACTAAATAGAAATATCTTTTCTTAAGAATAACGCTACTACGTAAGCGTCGATTATTTTGTCTTATAAAAAACTAACTTTTTGTAATTAAAAAATTTTGAAAATGATTAAAAACATACCTTGCCCAGCTCCAAGATGTCCCATGGTCCTCTGAACTTGCGGAGGTGGCATACTCTGGCCGGGAACACCAGCCCCGGGTGTAAGTTTTCCGTAGCCCACGTGGGGTTGCTGTTGTCTTGCCGCCTCCTCCTGTACTTGCTTGACGACTTGGAGAACGTTCGCAGGAGGGGTTTGCGTACCGGGCTTGATACCGATGCCCGCCTGATGTGGCGACTGCATTCCCATGCCGACAGTCGTGATTGCACCCGCACCACCCATTGTTCCCGCGGGACTTACCGCGCCCGGTAACACAGTCTGTGCTCCAGACGCCAACGACGGCATCGTCGCACCGGGAACAGGACTCTGCGGCACCATTGTCCGCGTATTCATTACAGCCATACGTCGGCGCAGCAGTTGCGCTTGCTGTAGCCGTTGCTGCAACTGTTGTTGCTTTAGCTTGTGTTTGATGTTTGAACAGAACGGTACAGGGCACTTAGTTTCTTGGCAGTGTTTGGCGTGGTAACAGCACAACGCTATTAACTGTTTGCATACGGGACAACCACCTATAAAACAAAAGGCAATAATAATAATTCGCTCGTCATTAATGCTTCTTGCATTCGGGTTATTTTTCATTTGTAGATCATACAGAAGTAATATATTACCTACTTAAAATTAAAAGCAACTTAAAAACAGTTATAAATTATGTACAATAGAACCACAATTTAACAGTGGAAAAATTAATTTACAGATATTTCATGGTAATGGAATTACAAGAAGCATTAATATAATAATTAATTAATTAATTCCCTTATTTAGACAATAACGGACGTGATTAGCCAAATACAACTAATAATTTTGTGTAAATTTACTGTTTACAAAAATAAATAAATGAATCAAATTATATAACTAGCAAATAATATATTGTTCTATTTAATAAAATTTATATACTGAGTGATACTCACCGTTCGTTTTTCGCTTGCAGACTTTGGTATGCGTGACAACTCGTCGCATCTTCTGACAGCTAGTGAGACGGCAATTCGCGTCGCGACATTGACATGCATGCACCAGGTTCTGAATACATCTTTGAATTGAGAGAGTGCGTGCCTCTTGAGGATTAGCCTGTTTTTCGCTTGGCGAGGAGCCGTCATCAAGATCGAGTCCCAATTTTTCCATTTTGTGCGGATGCCCTTCTTTCTCGTAGCACAGAGTGCACAAATCGAAATCGTCGCACACGGTGCAATGGTAACGGGTTTCGACGTGAGACTTGCAATGGTTGCATGTGTAGACGAATTTGTCTTGACCCTGATTATGCAGCTCATACAACATTGCCATCGTGCTGTATTTTGCACGACGAAGTGAAGAGAATTCGTAGTGTTTTTCGCGCGCCATTGTTAAAAACGCATCCCTGCCGTCCATGAGATCACAGTTTATAAAAGGGTCGGGGTCTTGAATCGGCTGAAACAAGAAAAAATAATAGCACACAAAAAACTAACATTTTAATAATCGACTTACCCCTAAACTAGCTGCCCTCTGTACACTATGTAATCTTATTACAAAGAAGACCTCTTTATGTTTGTCCATCGTTGCAAATATCTTTGCAGATAGATCATTTCCTGTCTGTGGAGTGTTAGACTTTTTACTATTCTTCCGCTGATTCGATTTAGATTTATTGCTTTTCTTCGCTTTCTTTTGGCCCTTCTTCTTACCATCCACTCCGGACTCGCTGTCATCGGATATTGAAAACATCTAACGATGAAAATAAATAATTGTTACAATTTTTTTTTGTTTCTTTAAGGAGCGACATTAAAATGACTATATAAAAAAATTAAATTATTTCGAAACAATATAATTCTGTATTAACGCGATATCTAATAGACAATAGTGCAAGTTACGCGACAAAACACGCTTTTTAAATGAAAATGAAAGAAGGAAATTAATTGAAACAGCGTAATTACAAAACCTTTCCTAGAATTTCCAACATATGACGATCATACAGGTGAATCAGTTAAGCAATTTATAGAAGTTGTACTCATAGTAGAAAATGGAGACCATGGTAAAGGTATTAAATAAATAAACCAAAAAGACTCGCCCTAATTACTACACTTGGTCACTGCAAACACATGTCTCACTAATTTCTAATATGGGCATTATCAGTTTCTCGTTGATAATAGTCACATCAGAAATTTGCGCCGCACGTGTCAGCAGATTATATTTTGTGGTAATGATGGTCTTTTTTTGGTTTATTTAGTTTACGAATGTTGGCATTATAGGGTGCGGGACAGGCGGTGTGGGTAAAGCGCCTGTATATATTCGTACACATTGTTAAATGTCACTTGTTCACTTATAATTATAAGTGAAAATTTTCTGCACACCGATAATTTTTTAATAAAAAAAATATTCATTTGTTGAACTTACAGCATTTGCAGCCGCTGCAGCTGCTTCTGCAGCCTCAGCCTTTCTTTTTTCTTCTTCTTCCTGATCAAGTTCTTTTATGCTTTCCTCCAACACGTTGGGCCAAAAGTCGCCTTCAAAATACGGAAGATCGGCTGCTGACCTAAGATGATCTTCCATTGCTTGTTTGAGGATGTCCTAGTAGCAAATACAACCACGTAATGCAAATCTCTTGTGCAAACATTGTTATTTTATTACTAACCTTGTAGTCAAGAACAATTCTTTCGATGATTCCCTTGTCGAGCATTTTCTTGTACCAGTCTTGAAGACGTTTGGGTTTTGGTATTTTCTGTTCAACGGGATGGCAGTGGAAGATATAATCATCACCTTCGCTGGGCGGACACGCCCATATATGAGCCATCGTATATCCAAGCTGTTTCACGTAGTCCATATAACCGAGCAAGATTTCGTGATAGACTGCGGTCCTGAATTGGCGCGGTTTAAAAAAATGCACCGAATCGAGATAAGCTATGTAAACGCGCCTGGTGTTCGGGGGTGGACAATCACTACCGTACTCTTGGACGTGCATACCAAAAAAGCACACATCCACACCATCTATCTCCTCAAACGCAAACAATGCTTTGGCTCGATACGGGAATTCCGGAGACAGTTCGCCACTTTCCACAAATTTAGCGCGCATGCCCGGTTTAACTTCTACAACTTTTTCTGAACTTGAAACCACCCGAATATGAACCTCTCCGGCACCGGCCTCTTTTTTTTTCAAAAAGTTATTCACACGCGTCTCGATATACACGCCTAATTTCGTCGTGGGTAATCGTTTCGCACTGAACTTGTTGTCTTTCCGTTTCGTGCCTTTCTTTTTATGGCACTCGTCACATGTGAAGCCTGATGTCCAGATACAATCTAAGTGGAGTACGCAGATCTGGTGTAATTTACGACCGCACTCATTGCAGTAAACGAATTGCTCCATCTCTAGGTGGTCGTTCTTCATTTCTTTGAACTGGTCTTTCTTTATCACGCTGCAATATACATACTACTAATAATACATGACAACCAAATATTCATTCAACGTAAAAATATTTAATTCGATTTAGTAGAACAAATTTTGTTAATTTTTCATGAAATAATAACAAATATTAAATTAAATTAAACGAATAAAATTTATTTTTTTTCAGTTTGCACTTTATCCGTTGCTTAAAATTTGATGACATACAAAATATAACTCAGCCGAAGAATTATTGTTGTTTTTTCTTTCAATTTTCTTTTTTGAATACAAACTAATATATATATATATTTGATCATATCAAAAAATTAATGAACGTAATAAATTGTAAATATTAAAAAAAAAAAAATATTTTTACTTTCAGCAGTAATTATTTTACAAATTTTTGATTTACAATTTAAAAAGGAAGCAAAAAACGATGACTTACGTTTGCGCTTGCGTAGGATCGTCTCCTAGGGTTACGGTGTCGGCTTGGATATCGTTGAAACACTTTTGGCAGAAGGTATATCTGTTGGAGTCAAGTCCAAATGCTTTAAGACTGCAGGATCAACAAGCGGGCAGCCAACAAGCGATGTGGGTGTAAATTGGTAGTTGTGTTTAGGTAGAAAGGTAATCGGGAAAGAGAAAAGATGAACGAGCGTTAAACAGTGATTTACATTTACAACGCGAAAAAATAACAACCTTTTTTAACAGTAATTTTTATCTTTATTTAANTTTGAAGAAACTATATATATATATAATAATCTGCTTTCTCCACATTCAAATTTATGTAAGCAAATATATTTGTAATTATTTTTTTAAATATATAATTTGAATATGTGCCTAAGAAAGTGCTTCGAAAAAAATCTTTACATTTCAACTGTTGTAAATAAATTAGAACCTTCAAAATAGATTTTACAACCATTCCTCATTCTCACAATGTGATTGATTAATTTTGCAAATGTAAATCACAAGCATGGGTTAATAATGCTCAAGCACACTACCAAATCATAATTGTGGCATAGCAGAACTATTTTGTATTTCGTTAATTAAATTAGCTTATTATGTGCCCTTTAATCTCGAATGTATTTTATAAAATAATTGATATTAAAAAAGTACGCTGTAATTACACTATTTGTAAAATTTAAAAACAAACACAACAGCAAAGTATTAATAGATCTTAATTATTTATTATATATTTTGTCTTCTAAACTTCGGTGTAATCAATCTTAAGTACCTTTTAGGTAAAAGGAAAAACTGAAATGTTTCCCCTTCCTGTGAAACTTATTTTTGTTTTAACTAATTTTTCTTTTCAGAGAAAGGTTTTTACCAATAGTTAGAAATAAATAAATAGATAGATTTTAATAAAACCAAAATGTGAAACAGCAATAAAAAAAAGCACTGACCTGTTCTGATAACTATAGTATTTGGCATCTCGAGGAATCGTGCACAATTGCTTTCCATAACAGCATAGGACCTGGGGATTAAATGTGTATTTTCTACCACAACAGTAACCCATTGACTGCATCACTGGGTCTATTTCTTGTTCGAATACTTCCGCTAGCTAGAATGAAAAACAAAAAAATTAATGACAAATTAAGACAAAAGTGTTAAAACTGACTTTAGTGCAATGCCGGTAGACTCTGCTCGCCTTCCTGTTGTACAGCCACGCGTTATCAAACATCAACCACACATCATCAACGTATTCCCAAGGATCTTGGTATTGACCAATGTCCAGTTTCCTTTTTATCGTTGAGAGATCCATCGGTTTTTTCACAATATCAAAATAATCAGGTATTCCCAGACTTTGTGGATCAACGGGCTGTCTAAACGGAATACTCTCAGGATCTTGACGGTATAGTTTCTCCAATGTGGGCATCAGTTTTTGCCTTAGTTCGTCAGGCTTAAATACTAAATAAAATATATCAAAAATTGTTAAGTGTTCCACTAAAACATTCGAATTGGTAAACTTACTGCATTTACGTTTTAAACTATCTTGTCCCTGAATAGGAACGATGTCTCGAGATATTGGGGACGGTTTGATGTCAGCGGAACTGTCAGGCGTACTAGGTGGTTCATCTTTAACTCCGTGTTCTTCCATCATGTCCATACCCTCCATAGTTTCCGTCTTAATATCTTGTTTTATTTCAGACTTTATACCCTTGCCGCCGCCCTCGCGGCCGTCCATCGTGTTACTATCTTCCTCTTTTATATCCATTGACGATGTGTCTTCCTGTTTGATGTTATCCAATTTACCCTTGATACCGCCATTCGAGGACGGAGGCGGCGAATCGTCGTCCTTTTGCGCGGCTGTTATCGCTGCCATCTGCGACGACATTGACGTAGGACGGGGCGCATGCAACGCTTGACGTTCTGCCGCCGTCATTCCCTTTCCTGAAAATAATACTTCAATAAAATTAACGGAAAATTTGAAAATCGTTACTTGGCAATATCTTACCTAAACTGCTAGCCGTAACATTAGATGGTGAAGAGACAATAGGGGTGGGTGGCGCAGGCGAAGCGCCCCTTGACGAGCTGACCGACGTCGGTCCCAAAGCGGTGGTCGTATGCACCATGGATGAGGTGGTAATGTCAGGAGTAGAACTGGTCATTCTTGGCGTCGCTCCTCCATTAGCGTTCATTTGTTGTTGCTGTTGTTGGGACTGATTACTAGCCATTCCACCGACCCCTACCGCCGTCCCAGATTGATGCAAACCGAAAGCGGACGGCGATGGAGCAAGCCTGTTCTTCAGTACTTCGTTGAACTGTTGTTGTTGAGTGAGCGTAGGCGAAGTGGCAGGCAAACTAGGACCATTACTCGTCGGTGCAGACATACTGCCTGATGGCGGTTGTTGTTGCGACATCGGTTGACCGAATGGCGATAAACTGGGCTGTGATGGTATATTCGAGCCCGTAGGACTCGGACCTGGAAGACCAACAGCCACCGATTGCTGTTGAGCGTTCCCAACACCTGCCGATGTTGCACTCTGTCCAGCGAACAACATACGATTTTGTTGATTAAGAACGTTGCCTAAGCCTAAAGAAGGACAAATTAAATTCAATTTCAGTTAATTATTTTTGGAATTCTTACGGCCAAATCTATTACAGGTTTTAAAACCAACATTACGTAATCATCTCACAAATATTTTATACTCTTCATTTAATAACGAAGAATAATGCAATTAATAGTGCTTACTAAACCAGGAACCCAATAAGGTAGACCAAAGTCATTAAAGCAAAAACAGAAAGAATAAGAAATACATAAATTCATATTTGCTTTGTATTATAATAGTAAAAACTGAAGAAGAAGAATTACAATATTCTCCACTGCAGATAAAAAGTCTAAAACTAAAAGTGGAGCCTCTATTTATCTACATACTTTGCCCGAAAGCATCTGAAGGTACTATATTTAGAGGTGTACTTGGGTATTTTACAATTTAATAAAAAAAACAATTCACTGATGAGTAAAAACCATACAATATTACACAGTAGTTTCAAATTACACATCAAATTAAAAATTTGGGTACGAATTTTGATAGTGAACTAATAATTAACGATCACACGGAATATTTATGCCATATTGCTAATGTAAGTGTTACTTTTGTCTTTTGCAAAACGAAGAAATTTAAAAATGTAAATATATTCTGTCCCTTATATAATTCATATGTAAAATAAAAAATGTTGTACGTTATTTGGTGTCCTAATACTGCTGTACTTACAGAAAACGTTTGAAAATATCCAACACAAGTTTATATGTGCTGTATTATGACGTATACGGAACTAGTGTACAAATTTAATAATAAATATAATGAGTTGCTTACAGTACTACATTCATGCTTACGCCCATGAGGCGCAGGCCTAAGGCGGTGGCACAAAACTTTTAGAGGCGAGAAAAACTGTCGTTTAGATTTCTCGTTTTCGCATATTTAAAACACCTGCCTTTTATCGACTAATCTTCCGTGAGATGTTAAAACCTATTTATAGTCATAATATGTTTTTGATAAATTCTAAAAACTTCCTGTATTTTTTGTTATTGCCTTGTGTGCATCATTGGAACAAAAGAAATTTAAAATCATCAGACTCTAACAGCAAATCTACATTGAATTAAACCCGCTAAAAATTTTTGGTTTTTGAATAGTGAATACCACACAACTTGTTAATACATTATTGTTACTCTAAATTGAAAGCACCACTACGCCTTGCAAAAGTATATGAATTATTGGAAGGTTTTAAAGAAGCTGTACGTTTTCTAAATAAATAAAAACTGCAAATTAAAAACTTACCAATAGAATTGCTGAGAGCTGGAGAATTGCTCCGTAAACCAGCCTGCTGAGACAAAGTACTTCCAGGAGCCCCAGGTCTCGAGCCAGCTCCAGGAACAGTGCCTTGAAGTCCCGGCCTCAACTGTTGCTGCTGTAACTGCTGTTGTTGTTGTAATTGTTGCTCTTTACGTTTCTGTCTCTTTTCTTCCAGTTCCTTTTGTATCTTGTAGATTTTCTCTGCGAGCAAATGGTAGTATTCAGAGCGCGAATTTGCCATTTCATACATATCGCCCTCTACTTTGCGTGCATACGCCACTAGATTGTGCATTCGTTTATCTTGCATCGCTTGGAGATCAGGGGTTGGAAATATTGCTTGTACGAGCTTATGCACTAAATGGTTACGGAGATCGGGCGTGACTGATTGGTGCCACTCTTTGGTTCCTTGTATTGGTGTAGCCGTCACCTGACCGGGCTGAAGACCTGTCGAAACTTGCATACGTCCATCAACACCCACCTTAAACAATAAAGCAAATACTACTAATGCTGACGACACAAAATCGGTCCGAACTGTTCAAGATTCGAATGGAATAAGGTTTTACTCACAACTGCTTGTGATTGAGTATCTCCGGTGCCAAAGAGCTGCACTCCAGCCACGTTTTGTGTAATGTTGGCCGCCACCTGGGCGACGGCAGCACTCTGGGTTGCTGCTGGATTCGAATCACTTCCAAGTGGTAAACTGACGTTTGGAGCTGGTTGTTGATTTTGCGTAGGTGCTAATACTCTAATTCCACCCATGTTGGCCGCCTGTTGCTGCTGCTGTTGTGAATGTTGTAAGATCTGATTGGACGTCGCGGGGCCACCTCCGCTTGCCAGAGGTAATCGGATACCAGGACGAGGCTGTACCACATTCGGTATGAGGCCTGCAGGAGTTGGACCCGTCGTTCCCGTCGTCGGGCATTGAATACCGAGCGCATCGTAGGCCCGACGCAAGTCCGACGCTGACGGATTTGGCGATTGCGTCGTTTGAGGTTGATTTGAAGTAGCTTTAACAAAAAAATGTAATAAAATTAAATGAATACAACATAACAAATGCCCGTTATTTTCTTCACCTACCATTGGGATTGTTTCTGTTCTTGTCTGCTTGTTTGAGGGGCAGGCAAACGGGACAATCGTTCCGCACACAATTTTTCCAGTGGCTGATTATTTGTCGCGAGGAACTGCAGTGAGGTACGGAGCAGCTCTTACCTGCTTGACATGTGGTCATGTGATTTAAAACGTTCTTCATCACCTTACAATGAGGTAACGTGCACAACCACACTTCACCGTTGGCCTGTGCTTCGCGTCGTTGACACTTGTGCGCGTGTAAAAGCAACACAAGTTGCTGTTGGATTAATTTTCTTTTTTCTGGATCTGCAAGTACAGAATTGAAAAATTAACGTATCTACATAATTCTCACATTTTAAACAAAAACAATATCAACTTTTTAATAACAAAAAGATGGTAGCCACCTGTTGATGCTGCTGGTGCCGTTCCGCCAGTGGCCTGATTTTGAGTTGCGGTCTGAGGTCCGGGTTGCGACCCTGCCGGGGCTCCAGATTGGGGTTGAGCTGGTGATGCAGCTGGTGGTTGAGTTTGAGCCATCCCACCTTCACCACCCGCTGTAGGACCAACAGGCCCTGCGGGTCCGCCAAAACGGTTCTGTTGAATTGCAATCGAACCAGGTCTTTGAGGAGCCACCACGCCACCTACAATTACAACATACATTGATTACAAATATAAAAAACTTAAGAAATGGTTTGTTTGAAAAATTACTTACCACCTACGTGGACATTTTGAGGTCCTGTCGCGTTCGAATACGGGTATGGAGTATTGGCAGGCATTACTTGACCTACTGGTCCACCAAGCTGCATCATTCCTGGAGGTTGCATGCGTGGTCCCATTGTATGTATTCCATGAGGGCCTGGCGTTCGTTGGTTCATTTGTTGTTGAATAGATGCCACATTTCTTGCATTCATCATGGGACCGTTCTGGATAGGCTACAAGCAAAAGTTTCATTAAATACTCAATGGTAGAAGGTTTTACTTGTTGAAACTCCATAATCAATTAAAGGAAACGAAGGTAAAGTTTAAAAAAAATATATATTTTGACAGTTCACAATTGTTTCACCAAAATAACTTCATCTGAAGAAGCCAATGTTTTGGCGAAACAATTGTTGTGTTTGAAACTTTACTTTCGTTTTCTTTAAAACTTTTATTCTCATATCACCCACTGGATTTGTAAGTAACTACATACCTGAGGTACCCCGTGATTGACAGGATGGTGCCCTGGAGCCATCATATTGGTAGCATTAGACAAACCCTGTTTATTCATACCACTGGACACAACCAAACCTCCTCCCGCCATCGTGCCCAAATTACCGCCCATATTACTATTGGTCATTATCATATTTCCGCCTGCACTCACGTTTGCTACGCTGTTATTCATGCCTAAATTTAATATAGCAAAAAAAAAAAACGCTCAATACCACCTTCTACTATAACTATTATTTATATGATATAAAAAGTAAATAACTGAAGGAAAATTGTAATTACTTTGATAAATTGACATGGAATGTGTATTCAAATTCGTTATTCAACTTTAAATATCTTAAATTTTAGTTTTAAGTGCCAACTCAAATATAGAAAGGTATATATCATACTGCTGTAGGAAATTATGCAAATACTGGTAAATAAATAATAATCATCATATGGTCCTTATTTTGCCTTTTGCATAAAAATAAAACTTTTGTAAACAATAACACATGTAAATATACTCACCTTGAATTGAACTCATAACCTGAGGAGAACTTCCATTATTTGCAATGGATTGCAAGCCTACACTACTAGCAATGCTGGATGGGAGACTTCCTAGAGACATCGGATCGACTACATTCCCTTTTGCTACAGATACATTAGGAGGCGATTGTAAATTTGGACTTTTATTACCTAATTGATTACCCGCAAGACCTAAAGCGTTTCCGACCAATGTTTTATTGCCCTTAAAAAGATGATATACGTTTGTTAGGAAAAGAAAAAAGTGTTCGAAGGAATTTTAATAATCGATGTAAAATACCTGCTGCTGCATTAAGTGATGATTAAGTTGTATTTGTTGTCGTAATGCATTTGTTCCTTCTGCATTTTCCATGCCATTTTGCAATGCCCCAGGGCCTGGACCCTGGGCCGGAGGTTTATTATTCCCCATGGGATCTGATACCATCCCCCATGAACTACCTGAGGAAATAAGCTCCTCCGGAAGATCGTTTTCCAAATTAAACATATCAATGTTAGATAACATTTCTAAAAAGAAAAAATAATTAAATAAGACCTTTCATCAAACTTCAGATGCTGGTAAAAAATAAAAAAATGAATGATACATCAACATGATTAAAAAAAAAGTGAAAAAAACTGAATTCTTTAAAAATAAATGTATTGTAAATTCAAAAATATCCTCAAATTATTTTCACCAAGTTTAACGTACAATTTTAGTAATTTATGAAGGAGTAAATCTGTATTTTAAAAACTATAAATTATAAACATGTACAAGTCTACTGGAAGCAAACATACACATGTGAAATATAAATTTTAATTCATACCGCAATTGAAATGAGTAAAACAAATTATAGTATTTCAAATTGGTAATGTTACATGCAAAAATAATTTAGCAGAAACTCTGACATGGCATTTTTACAATATTTGGGTGCATTATGCTTTCTAATTGTAAATATTAAAAAAAAAAAAATATTTTTACTTTCAGCAGTAATTATTTTACAAATTTTTGATTTACAATTTAAAAAGGAAGCAAAAAACGATGACTTACGTTTGCGCTTGCGTAGGATCGTCTCCTAGGGTTACGGTGTCGCCTTGGATATCGTTGAAACACTTTTGGCAGAAGGTATATCTGTTGGAGTCAAGTCCAAATGCTTTAAGACTGCAGGATCAACAAGCGGGCAGCCAACAAGCGATGTGGGTGTAAATTGGTAGTTGTGTTTAGGTAGAAAGGTAATCGGGAAAGAGAAAAGATGAACGAGCGTTAAACAGTGATTTACATTTACAACGCGAAAAAATAACAACCTTTTTTAACAGTAATTTTTATCTTTATTTAAATTAACATATAAATCAGCGTAATGTTATNTATTTAAGTAAGTTGTTAATGTACATGACATTCATTTACATTCATTCTATTAAAGACATTCCAATAAGTAAGTTTATGGAGAATAATAAAAAAACGAACCTGAAGTTTTACCAAGATGTTATTGAAGATGTTTTGTTAAACTGTAAAAAAATGTTTATTGAGGAAGATATTGACGAACAAATAATTCCTGTCTTAAATGAATCATGGAATTTAAAAATTAAAAATCATCAAGCTGTAAAAAATTCAAATAAAATCAAAACAAGTTCATTTGAACCACAACAGCATTATGCATTGTCACTTCAAATCCCCAAAAATTCTCTTGTTAATCAAATGGTCCCAATAAAAGTTCTTTTGGGAAAAAATAGTGATCCAATACAGATTTTGATCCCTTCAAAATTGTTGGAAAACAATCAGCTTCAGAAAATTTTGAGTGGTTCCCTATTATCCACAATTATTAGTTTACCAAAATCAAATAACAATTGTTTATATTGTCTAATTAAACGTAGTAAATAAATAAAAGCAAGCAAATGTATACAGTAGACACTCGGTTTCAAACTAAAAATAGGTATCCTATAGCAGTGGATCTATTTGAACAGCATAAATAAAAATAAAAATAGTATACAATAAATATTTGTATGAATGAAAGGATATTTGGTTAGCAATTTAGTAATGGTAGAATTAGATTTAGTTAGTAGTTTACACTGTAGATTACTACTCAGTGTGAAATGTGAATCGAAGCAGTATTTACTTTGCTGTTGGCGCATATTCCACTGCCGAAGATCAGGCTGTCCACAACCCATAGTAGATCCAAGATTTTGTCCAGATGCCAAGCCATAGTTGTAAACTTGTTGCATTGCCACTAATAGTTAGGTACAAATACAGAATTACTTTTTTTTCTCTACCATCACCTACTTAATTCTAACCTAGATTTGTAGGAATTTAGTAATAAATTTAGAGATAATAATTATATTATGAGAAGCTTTTTCGCTATGTACAATTTTTTAGTAGGTACAGAAAATTCATGCAAGGTAAGCAAAATACCAAAGCACACATGCAAAAAGAAGTTCAAGAGCGATATTGTTTACAAACGTATTATGTCAGTGCCATGTTTGTTTTGGAGTACCTACTAAAACCCGGCTTTTAGCGTTTTTCACAAATTAATGATTAAAATAAGTCAGTGAAAATAGATGCGAAAAAATAAAAAAAAACAGCTGTCTTTAATACTTCTGTTTCGGCTTACATGTCAAATGGTAATCGAAACTTACGCGCCACATTTATTTAACACAACATGCCTAAAATATATTTAATTTTTAATACAATACAATTTTTTTGTTAAATATATTTTCTTAGTCGATTCTTTTAACGTAACGCATGTAATTCAATGGCTAAAACAATTTCNAGACATTCCAATAAGTAAGTTTATGGAGAATAATAAAAAAACGAACCTGAAGTTTTACCAAGATGTTATTGAAGATGTTTTGTTAAACTGTAAAAAAATGTTTATTGAGGAAGATATTGACGAACAAATAATTCCTGTCTTAAATGAATCATGGAATTTAAAAATTAAAAATCATCAAGCTGTAAAAAATTCAAATAAAATCAAAACAAGTTCATTTGAACCACAACAGCATTATGCATTGTCACTTCAAATCCCCAAAAATTCTCTTGTTAATCAAATGGTCCCAATAAAAGTTCTTTTGGGAAAAAATAGTGATCCAATACAGATTTTGATCCCTTCAAAATTGTTGGAAAACAATCAGCTTCAGAAAATTTTGAGTGGTTCCCTATTATCCACAATTATTAGTTTACCAAAATCACTTGCCACTGATGTACTTCAACAACATATAAATGACTTAATTAAAAATGAAAATAATAATTAAGAAATACTTATAAGATTTGTTGAGCTGTTTCCATTTACTATATCATGTACTTTTAGATTATGTATTTTGAAAAATTGATCATTTTTTGTTTATTTGAAGAATTACCTAAAGAATTATTCTAAAAATTTACTAACAAACTCCTAAGTTGGTTATTGACAACAGATTTATTAATGCTTTGTTACGATTAAGGTTTTAATTATTTTTTCATTTTCTGATTGTGTTACCTTTTCAATTTGTATTTTATTTTGTAAATGGGTATCTACCACATACAATATGTAAAAATATTAAAAACTTGGCCGTTTTTAACTTTCTTAATGATTTTCTTTAGGAAATTATTTACTTTTTTATTATTTACCAGTACTTTTACATTTGTTTGTACAAACCGCAAAGTGAAAAGATTACTGTATGCGAATTGATGTGACAATTTACAAATTAAACTAAACTTAAAATTGAAAACTTATAACTAATCTAATATAACTGAAAAACTTTTTAAGTTACTAAAAGTTTTTACAATAATTCATCGTGCTTGCTAAAGTTATAAACTGCGAACGAAGTTATACTTCCAAGTCATCTACGTAAATGCCTATAATGTGGGTTGCCTAACAAACATTAGAAAGAAAGATAAGAACTACAAAGCTAATACAAATTTAATAAAATGAATAAATGTATTTTAATTAACAATAGGGAGAATAACTCTTAATTTTATGTATGTATATTATTGAAAATATCTTGTCAATTTAATGAACTAATAAGTAATTTTGAGTTTAAATTAATGAGTTACGTAATTTTAAAATTAATAGACGTTAGCAGTGTAAATTATATAAGTAAGCAAAAAATGTAAAAGTAAATAATATATTTAAACAATCAATTATAATAATTAATCAATGAAATATCTTATTTCAGCCTTTTTTATCTTCTTTTGCACATTCATCTGCTGCTGCCCCGGTGTTGCCTGTTGTCTCGGCGATATCTGGAGCAGGCGGTTTAAACATTTTATCTTCATTGATCATAACAAAAACCTTGTCTGCAAGAATTTCTACAAATCTGTCAAAGAAAAACACCAAGGCGCATGTTGCCACTGCAAAAGTGGACGTTCTTCTAAAAACATATCTGTTAAGAAGAGCTGACATTTTCTTCAATAAATATCTAAATTGTCTCTTGACACTTATTATTTCATCTCAATAAATCTCACTTTTAATATAACAAAATAAAAAACTGACTTCTACACGATTGCTAGGATCATTTAACGATAGATTAACATGGCTTACTAAAATTATGTACATAACTACTTAGACCTAGGGTTCGTTTCCAAATCTTATATATCAACTTCGGGTATTCCTCGGAGCTCATCTGGATCCAATTGTGTTCTCTCTTTAATGATATAGACAAGGCATGTCGATATTTTGATTTATGCTGAAGCGTTAAGTTTTTTATGCAGATCTTAATTTGTTAGTAAAAGTTGTCATAACTTATAATGTGCAACCCCTAGATATTGTTTAGAATGTTGTTCCAGACTTGTTCCAAATATCTAACTTTATGCTAAAACCAATCTTAATGGGATCTTGTCACCTGGCCCGGGCTAAATACTTAAAGAAAAGGGTTAAAAGAATTTGAATAAAAGACAGAAATCATTTATTATTTCATCAAACTTATAGATATATTTTGTAAGAAACTGAAATTGGTATAACACAACAGTTTGCATTAACATGCATTGATATGAGAAGACATCATGTTATACTCGCTTTTCCAGAAAAATTTCTGAAACTTTGTTTTCAAAAGAAGAGAGGTGAATCTACTCTACTAAATTTGCTGTGCTTCCTGGTAACGAGCATTTTTTTATTTCTGTTTTAATGGAATTGATGAGAGTTAGAGCAGGATCGTCCGGCTTTAATGCACCTTCTGCTAAAATTTGATCAACGTCCACTTGGGGTGGTCGGTGCTTTTTGAGGATCCCTGCACTAACTGGCCTTGTTAGGGGTGACGGAGTGTGACTATTCCAAGCCCCTTTCGGTTTGGTAATTTCTGAAGAGCGAGATGCTCTGCCATAAGAGGTTTTTGGTCTTGGTTTAATGAAGTCTTCTGGTTGGTTTAATGCATTTTGAGTTTTAGAGCTAAAATACAAAAGTATAAACCCATTGAAATTTAAATATAATCTGAAAAATCTTTTGGGATTTGTTTGAGTTATCCTGAAAAGGAGCGTTTTTACCTGGTTGCAGCAGATCTACTTTTACTTTCTGATAAAGTGTTCATAATCTTTAGATTTGCTAAACTTCCTCTTCGATTTCCAAACAGGGAAAACGTATCGTCCAATAAATCATGAAACCTCTTCCTCATAACAGCAGCATTTCTTCCCACGTTAGAATCTTCTTCTTTACTTTCTGTAACGACACTGTATTATAAAACAAATAATTGCCATATCTATTCATTGATTACCCTGCAAACCTTTACGATGAAGCTCCCAAACCAGAGGTCCAACAACTCCTGGATCCTCCATAGCACTCATGCTATTACTTTTAAAAAAGCCCTGCGGTTTTTCTACCCTCTCTTCATAATTATCATCCATCAAATCTAAATGAAGCACACTAACTGGTTGCAAAATTTTATTCAAAGAATCAGGAACATTACTTCTATTATAAAAAAAAAGACAGATTATTAACTCAAAAATAACGGTAATTTTTAATATAAAGTGTACCTAGGAAATGATTTTACTGAAGGCATAGATAAGTATGATTTAGCACTTAGAATAGCAGACTCTTGTCCACCTGTTCCTGCTAAAACAGTGTCAACTGAATCCCTGGTACTAAAATCAGTTGTATCACTACTATCGGTGGAATTGGACCTGACAACATGTTCATCAAACGGGGCTGTTCTATTATAGGCCCCTTTTGGTCTAGATACATTTATTTTGTTCATTTGCATTTTTAACTTTTTTTGAGCTACCACCAGAGGTGATATATCCAAACTACTGTCACTACTAAAAGTGAATTAATATCTTTAGTCTTATAGCATATGCATAATAAATAATTAATGTCAGTATATAATTTTTGGGTAGCTTCTCCTTTGATAAGAAGGGGGAAGAAGAATGAGTAGGCACAACTCCTTCCCGAAATGGTTGTGGAAGCACATTAACAATACCTACATAATAAACAAAACGACAGTTTTTTTGGAGTGGCTTTTCCTACTCCCTCTTGCCTTTCGTATCCCCTATCATGCCAGAGGATACTAATTATGTATTAAAAATAGCAGGAGTTTTCCCTGCACACTCTCTCCTCCTCCTACATCCCCTATCATACCAAAGGATACTAATTATGTATTAAAAATAGCAGAAGTTGTTAAATCCAACTCTATAATTTTTACCTACTAACTGTAGAAGTGGAACAACTGTTTGGTCTGCTGGTCATACTTCCTGTACTCTTAAAAGTTTTTGTTAATGTTGCTTCGTCTTTGTAGTTGACATAAGAAGAGGATAGCTTTCTTCCTTCGTTTGCAATTCCTCGTTTATCAGCTTCAGAAACTACGAAACTCTTATTATCACTTTCTCTTCCTACAGTTCCATGTTCGAACACTTGTCTTCTATTGGCACTCCCTAGACCCGTCTTTTTCTTTTTACTAAAGCTAAGGGTGAGTAAGGTAGCTAGTAAAAGAAGAAGGAATAAAATTGATAAAGCAGCGCCAATGAAGAGCCAAGTGTTCTTTGCAGTTTCCAAATATTCTGGCTGACTTGGTTTGAGGTAAGCTAGAATTAAGTTTTAGGTCATTCTGACGTAAAATAAACAGATAAAAAATTCAAATCATACGCTCAGCTTTTATGACCGGGGAAAGCCCGAGTTCATTGACGATTTCGTTATCTGATACAAGCTTCATGTCTTCTGCTGCAGTTGCAGCTATTACTGGTTTACCAGAAACCGATACGTGATAAATTACTTCGATTCTTTCAGTTCCATCATTTATCATTTTTGAAATGTTGTGTATATGTACATTAACAACTTCTTCGCTTTGTGTTGCCCTTTTATGACGGTCATCCTTTATGCCCAAATGCAGTTTCTGGTGGCTATTAATTATATAGTTTTTTTGAGTTACATGTTTTAAATTAGCAACTAAAGTATTGTCTTTAAGTCTTTAAAATTTTATTATATTCTTCCTTTAAATAAATATTTTATTAGTATTTATGATGAATTAAAAATAAAAATTCATTGTATTATTCGTTTAAGATAACAAATTAAGTATGAGCATTTACTATTGCACTGCATATGTTTTGTAATCAATTTAAATAAATCGCTACTTTCAATTCCGCCTAGGCGTTACCGAAAGCAAGCAATGTTTTCGAACAATTTTAAAAAGCGGTAGACTAACGTTTAGGCAGGTTGTAATGCAGTGTATAGTCACATTGCAAATTATGTGTTATAACTTTAAATTGTAGTCGTATTCTACGAATTTCTTGTGTTGGCTGCAAGAACAAGACAAGTTTGGTAGTAAGAACAAGACAAGACAGGAATTTCTCTTAGCAAGAGCTAGATTTATTGTTAAGAAGCAAGAATTTTTGCTTTTTGGGTACAAATTTACAGTTTCAAAATAAAAGACGGAAGAAATCTTGAAAAAGCTAATTACGTTGTCTGAACTGTAGGCGAAATTCGCGTAAAGTGTTGCGATTTGGCGTAGTCGCATCGCACGCAATGTTTTAAAAATCAAATTGTTTCTTTGTATCCGCAGTTGTCCTCGAATTCACATGATGGAAATGCTTATTTAAGCAACTACTGCACGCACCGTAAATCCCACTTTTACCTAGGACACGGTATTATACATTATGGTGATCGCATCAAACATAACGTATCGCGCCCGCATCGCATATCCCGCGTTTACCTAGGACACGGTGTGTGAGCGGAACCGAAAGTAGCGAATTATTCGTAATTTGTACATACGATTTCTTACCGATTAAATGCCGTTTTGTACAGTTTTTCCAAACTGTCCTTCAGATCTGTTAAAATAAGGTTTTTACCGTCACTTTCCAAAACTGTTATTAACCAAAATTGATGGTCGACATCGTTTTCATTCAATGTTATATTATATTCAATATCAGTTTGATCATCTGTTGCAGAATTATCACAAATTGGTATACATTTCGTACTTGAATCTGGTTGATTCTAAATTTGAAGCAAATATTACAATTTGTATATGCCATGCTTATTGGCTATTATTAATAAAAGTATTGGTACAATATTTAATATTTTATAGTATTAAGTTCATTTAATTTTTAATACAATACAATTTTTTTGTTAAATATATTTTCTTAGTCGATTCTTTTAACGTAACGCATGTAATTCAATGGCTAAAACAATTTCCTTCTTACTGAACAGGAAACTCTTAACAATAATTAACTTGCTGCATTTACAAATTACCTACATGCAAAGTGCTTACAGGTAGACGTGCTTAATTGCTTAATGAACTTCTTATAACCTTTGAAAATGGGTTACTAAAACACGAATTTTCTGACCTGATTAAAATCTATCGTGGTCGATTTTGTTGGTAAATTATTATTGTGGGGTTTTAAATTATCATTCCGTTGTTCAGTTTCTGTGCTATCATCACCGGACCCTGTCCAAAAAAAATCTTCCAAATGGTAGTTTTTCGGCAACCTATCGTGACGATCAACCGATAAAATCACCAGTTCTACAAACGATATCAAATTATTACCTTAATTAATTTAATTACAGTATAAGTGATATTTGATTTTTCTAATTATCATGTACTTTAAACAATGCTTAACTATAATGACTAAATAACGAAGAATATTTAAAGAATGTTATTATTTATAATGGGGACCAGTTTTAAACACTTTTAGTTCTTGAGAATACTTGACGAACTTAGCGGCATCAGTAATTACAAATTATAATGGCTCCTTTGTCTATTTTTCATTTACTTAGTAACAAGGAAGCCTCTGGTAACTGCCACCGATTTATGAGATGAGAAACGTGTTTTTTTTTGCGGAAATACATTTTAAATGCATGTCTTTGCATTTTCTAAAAAAATACAGTTATATATAATTGTATTTAGTATTTTCTACTCTGTTTTGATTTAAATAATAATCAATAGATTTTTTGCTATTGATTTTTTCCATTTTTAACCTTTCAAATTTATGTATTTTTTAGTTTCATAAATATACGATTATAAACACTTAATTGTTTTTCATGTAGAATTTGATCCATTTGGTCGTTTGTGAAAATATCAATTAGAAAAATGTGAAACCTAAAAACCACTATCAATTTCGGTTAGTTACTTTCACCCCTTGAAAAAAAATACGTATCTCATAATTTTTGAAGTAGATTTACATATTACAACCGTTACTAAATAGAAGGCTGTCACCTCAAAAAGTCTTCTTGTATGTTTAATTAATTAACAGGTATTTCAAAAAGAAAATTACATTTTGTACTATTCATGGTTTATCCGGTAATAGACATACGTAGATGAGTTGAGCGTAATAATTTGTCAATGCAATTAAACCTAAGTGCGGTAATGGAATTGTTGAATACTTAAATTAATTCAAAGCCGCAAGTGACAAAGCCTACAGCTTTTATTAATCTAGCAATTAAAATCATTGAGACGTAAAATAAGGTCGCAACATATTATGCATGTTACCTGCACACACGCGATAATTTACAATCTAACAATAGCAAAAGTATCATCCATATTAGTCATTTTAAAAAATTAAAATAATACTTATGAAGGCTTCTTTATTTTATTTCAAAAAACTCTTAATTTTTAATCTTTTTGAAATTGATTATAGTTATCTAGGTAGTTCAATAAAAAAGTTTCATTTATAATTTATAAACAAATAGGATGTTGTAGGTTTATAAAACTAGGAATTACCTGTTGTGTACTGATTAAAAGAATACATAATTATTACTACAGTTACGTATGTAATTGCACGAAAATTCTAGCTACGAATTTTAATTTGTATCTATCATAACTTCAATAAGTAATTGTTTTAAATTTATAGTAAACGCAATTGAAATTCTTTATTTACATATTTATATACGTTTTTATGTAAACACTAAAAGGGAATTTAAATTAAATTATTGTGTTTTTACAAAAATATGTGCTTATAAATGAAATAGAAAAAACAGAGTGTTTAAATTTAATTTAATTTAACAAATAATTCGACAAAGTTTAAAACAAATGAGCAAAACGTCGGAAAATTGTTAATAAATTGGATTTCTGCATATATAATTTAAATTATTAGGAAATCAAGGGATAAAGTAAATTGTTTTAGAATAATAAAAAATAATAATTGTACCCTACAATGTTTTCCTCTGTCCCCAAAAAAAACTTAAAGATGTTTAAAAGCCTATTCATTATTTAATTAAACTAAATTTTACGCACCCATTCCTTGCTTTAATTGAGAAAAATTATTAACATCTGCAACTTTATCACTGCTAGTAACACGACTGAAAAACAGGACAATCACAACACTAAAAACAATGAAGGGCACATCTTTTAATAATAACAGGACTTGCATCCCTCATATAAGGAAGAGAGCTTAAGTCTGCGTGATTATTAACTTAATAAAAATGATGGCATTATTTGTTTCGCTTTTTTTTCTGTTACTTTTTATTAATAAATATACTAAATGACCCTTCTATTTCTGACTTCGTAACAAAACTGCGATGCCAAGCGTATAATAGATACAAACCGATACGGTTGAGATCGCATGCTACACTTTTTTTAAACAATAGCGTGTTCTCGATTTATTTAACGAATTGATCAAACAATTCACTTCCAAAAGAGTCATAGCACGTGTATTTTTGTTCAGAGATAGGCAGTCTACGATAGTTTGTATATAGTGAAGCGTCCCCTCGGTTGTCAAGGAGAGAAAAAGGACCTGCATATTATCCTAACACTACTGTTTTCGAAATGTTGAAGGATTGACAATATTCACACAACAATGGCATCACAGTTCAATGACTTTTAATTATTATTGTCCTCAATCTTTCGTCAATTTTATCCTGGATTACCTATTTTTTAGATTTAGAGTATTCACATTCAAAGGTTGTGAAATAATATTTTTTTTTAAGTTACCTAATCTAATTGTACGGTAAGATTCTATATGCCTAGACGAAATGTCTGTTATGCATATTTGTAAAGAATACCTTAAGTATTTAAATACTTTTCTTCATGGACCACTTGAATACAAGTGTAAATAATTCGTTTTGTACAGGTATTTAAATACAAATATCTACAGACTAAAAATATTCATAAAGTATTTGAAATACTTGAAATGTGTTATATTTAAGTATAAAAACGCAAATATATTGTTTTTTAAATTATTGGCACATAAATAATATATTTAAAAACAAATAAGTTTATGTAAATATCAATTCAATAATTTTAAAAAATATCCTAAAGCNGCATTATTATAATTATTGTAACAACAATTTATACTTAATCATATATTCTATTGAGTTGAATTGTTTATAAATTGTTTACGAATAAAATAAATTATCACAAATTTGAAGAAGTATTTGTAAAATAAAGTAAAATAGAGAAAAATTTACGTTTAAATACAAGTAATAAACACAAATAAATTGAAAAGCATTTCAAATATAATTTCAAATACACAAATAATAAGTATTCTGTTTTGTTTATCTCTAAAATCCGACCTTTGTGGGATAATCGTAAAAATAAGTAAAATTTTATGTACCAATCACAACTCGTTACTTCTTTTTTAATGAATACACATAATTTCAATAAACATGACGGAATAATAGTTGCTGAAAAAGTTTAGGCTAAAATTACCTTATTAAAGTAGTGAAAATCGAACAATCAAAAAAATAGAATTGTTTATGTCCCAGTTAAACTCCAAAGTGCTCCAAAGTAATTAACGAACATGCTATTACGTACTTCTAATATGGTAACTCGGTTGTCTGTATCACTAGTCATTACTAACGAAAATTACCCGTGAAAATATGCGGTTGTAATTAAATGATGCAAGGAATAGTGAATTGCGCACCAGGATTCGTAACTTTTAAAAATTCATTTGTACTTTTCTTATTACAACAGATATCTACATAAACCAATGACGACTCATAATCAATCGATGCGGATGTTCTGCAAAATGTTTAATTACCTATTTTTTTGAAAGTTAATTTAATTTTACAAACCAAATTTGTCACCTGAATGTAAACAAACAAAACAAAATAATGCAAGCAACTCCAACGTCTAAAAGAAATAAAATGCTAGCAAATAGGGTGTAGAAAGAAGGGGTTCCCGAATTAACGCCAGAACTGCCCAGTTAAGTAGTGTCCAAAGTATATCGCTAGAGAATTCACTTATTTTGCTACTCTCATCAATACTTAGCGCAAAATAGCAGACAAAAATCGATTTCGCACAAATACATCAGCCCCTAACATAAACCAATAAGGCTTTAAACTTTTTGTGAAACTATTTCCAATTATTTATAGTAAATAATTAAACATTTTAAAAAAATAGATTAGATCACTCCTGAAAACTTCCCCATCATGCCCATGAGGTTCCACCGAAATGGGACAGGCAGACAAACAGACACACTCACCCACTTTAATCAATATTAATTCTGATAAATAAACGTCTAGTTCGTAATGGCTATTGTATTTTTTTATCTTACAATGTATAATGTTTCCACAATTTAGTTGTTGTTCATTTTTGTTAAATGATTGGCGCTTATTCACGTCCAAAGTCCTGCGTCTTCACGACAATTACAATTCATCACTGTTTTGTCCATTAGCGTTGCAAAATATGTGCGTGATTAATTCTTGAACATTGTTAATTTATTTGTTGTCAAAATATCGTTCCATTTTTGTTGCATCATGCCGCAAAATGCTTCTTTGAGTAGCTATCATCGCAAACTCAAATTTCGTTAATCTTTTAAATTCAATTAATGAAATAGAATTCAATTATGTTCTTTTTGTTCGTACGTATGCGAGGCACACGTGGGATAAACACAATAGAACTCGTTTCTTCCATAAGTTTTGGTTTTGATCGAAAAAGTTAATGTTATTTACTATTTTGCCTTGTGGCTGCCACCGTTCTCCCACTAATGTTGATGTGTCTTCTACATATACAAACGTTTTCTTATTGTACAGGTACATAGATAACCTTGGGGTATTAAAACGCTATACGATCAGGTATCAATACTAATTAGTATTTGGTACCGACCTGTTGAGGTATAACGTGCGTAGATAAAATAAAGAACCTGTTTCTGCGCGAAATATACAGTATTTAATTTACATACTATAACGGAGGTCGAAACAGTTCTTTCTCAATGTCATATAAAATCAAAAAAATATTATTTCCGTTTTTATTTTATATTACGTGCCATCCCTGTTGTGCTGGTGTGCAATATATAACTAGTGTTACACCGCAACCGTACGGAGTACAAGTTAAGTTACATCAGTATTCAAATTACCCCACTTTCACCCCATATTCGAGTAGCCATGGGGGTATTAACACGGACTTTTATATTCCTCTAAGTGATAGTGATCATCAAAGTGATGTGAGTAGAAGGGTGTCTTCAAAAAAGAATGACGAGGAACAAGGGAATGATGGAAAACAGCAAAACGAAGAAAGTAAAGAAGAATCTAATCATATTCACGATCAGTATCCAAATTCTACTGAGGTATTTTTACATATGTATATTTTATAGGTACCTAGATTTTTATTGATTTATTGATCTTTTCAGTGCAAGTGCAATTATTACTAAAGATTGCATTAAATGATTAAATTAATGGGAAAAAAATACTTCGAACTAAACAAAATACTTTTTATATAATGTTTACAATTTACTGTTAGATACTTATACTGTGGAAATTCACAAATTCACGAAAAGTACCTATGTATGTTTAATATAGGTATCCTATTACATACGCCTGGGTTTCCCATAAAATTTTCATCATATTCTTTTTTCACTTTGAATAATGAATGAGAACGTTTTATAAAAACTTTAAAACTGGCTACATTAGATATTTTTAAACCCTTTATAAGTAATTCAAAAATACTACTACGGAAAAAAGTCCCAAGTACCCACACAAAATCTATATTTAACTTTTCTTCTAAAACAAGAATTTTAACTATTTTTTACCGACTATTTGCTTTATTTTGTTTGTTTTTTTCACGATATAGGTACTTGACTAATTCTTTACCATCTTTAGTAAAGTTACCTTACAGCTTCTGTTTAACCGTATTATTATGCTGTACACATACGTGTTTTATCACTATCGCATTCTATTCATGAAATTCTACATCACTTTCTTTTNTTACCTTACAGCTTCTGTTTAACCGTATTATTATGCTGTACACATACGTGTTTTATCACTATCGCATTCTATTCATGAAATTCTACATCACTTTCTTTTTACTTAATCATATATTCTATTGAGTTGAATTGTTTATAAATTGTTTACGAATAAAATAAATTATCACAAATTTGAAGAAGTATTTGTAAAATAAAGTAAAATAGAGAAAAATTTACGTTTAAATACAAGTAATAAACACAAATAAATTGAAAAGCATTTCAAATATAATTTCAAATACACAAATAATAAGTATTCTGTTTTGTTTATCTCTAAAATCCGACCTTTGTGGGATAATCGTAAAAATAAGTAAAATTTTATGTACCAATCACAACTCGTTACTTCTTTTTTAATGAATACACATAATTTCAATAAACATGACGGAATAATAGTTGCTGAAAAAGTTTAGGCTAAAATTACCTTATTAAAGTAGTGAAAATCGAACAATCAAAAAAATAGAATTGTTTATGTCCCAGTTAAACTCCAAAGTGCTCCAAAGTAATTAACGAACATGCTATTACGTACTTCTAATATGGTAACTCGGTTGTCTGTATCACTAGTCATTACTAACGAAAATTACCCGTGAAAATATGCGGTTGTAATTAAATGATGCAAGGAATAGTGAATTGCGCACCAGGATTCGTAACTTTTAAAAATTCATTTGTACTTTTCTTATTACAACAGATATCTACATAAACCAATGACGACTCATAATCAATCGATGCGGATGTTCTGCAAAATGTTTAATTACCTATTTTTTTGAAAGTTAATTTAATTTTACAAACCAAATTTGTCACCTGAATGTAAACAAACAAAACAAAATAATGCAAGCAACTCCAACGTCTAAAAGAAATAAAATGCTAGCAAATAGGGTGTAGAAAGAAGGGGTTCCCGAATTAACGCCAGAACTGCCCAGTTAAGTAGTGTCCAAAGTATATCGCTAGAGAATTCACTTATTTTGCTACTCTCATCAATACTTAGCGCAAAATAGCAGACAAAAATCGATTTCGCACAAATACATCAGCCCCTAACATAAACCAATAAGGCTTTAAACTTTTTGTGAAACTATTTCCAATTATTTATAGTAAATAATTAAACATTTTAAAAAAATAGATTAGATCACTCCTGAAAACTTCCCCATCATGCCCATGAGGTTCCACCGAAATGGGACAGGCAGACAAACAGACACACTCACCCACTTTAATCAATATTAATTCTGATAAATAAACGTCTAGTTCGTAATGGCTATTGTATTTTTTTATCTTACAATGTATAATGTTTCCACAATTTAGTTGTTGTTCATTTTTGTTAAATGATTGGCGCTTATTCACGTCCAAAGTCCTGCGTCTTCACGACAATTACAATTCATCACTGTTTTGTCCATTAGCGTTGCAAAATATGTGCGTGATTAATTCTTGAACATTGTTAATTTATTTGTTGTCAAAATATCGTTCCATTTTTGTTGCATCATGCCGCAAAATGCTTCTTTGAGTAGCTATCATCGCAAACTCAAATTTCGTTAATCTTTTAAATTCAATTAATGAAATAGAATTCAATTATGTTCTTTTTGTTCGTACGTATGCGAGGCACACGTGGGATAAACACAATAGAACTCGTTTCTTCCATAAGTTTTGGTTTTGATCGAAAAAGTTAATGTTATTTACTATTTTGCCTTGTGGCTGCCACCGTTCTCCCACTAATGTTGATGTGTCTTCTACATATACAAACGTTTTCTTATTGTACAGGTACATAGATAACCTTGGGGTATTAAAACGCTATACGATCAGGTATCAATACTAATTAGTATTTGGTACCGACCTGTTGAGGTATAACGTGCGTAGATAAAATAAAGAACCTGTTTCTGCGCGAAATATACAGTATTTAATTTACATACTATAACGGAGGTCGAAACAGTTCTTTCTCAATGTCATATAAAATCAAAAAAATATTATTTCCGTTTTTATTTTATATTACGTGCCATCCCTGTTGTGCTGGTGTGCAATATATAACTAGTGTTACACCGCAACCGTACGGAGTACAAGTTAAGTTACATCAGTATTCAAATTACCCCACTTTCACCCCATATTCGAGTAGCCATGGGGGTATTAACACGGACTTTTATATTCCTCTAAGTGATAGTGATCATCAAAGTGATGTGAGTAGAAGGGTGTCTTCAAAAAAGAATGACGAGGAACAAGGGAATGATGGAAAACAGCAAAACGAAGAAAGTAAAGAAGAATCTAATCATATTCACGATCAGTATCCAAATTCTACTGAGGTATTTTTACATATGTATATTTTATAGGTACCTAGATTTTTATTGATTTATTGATCTTTTCAGTGCAAGTGCAATTATTACTAAAGATTGCATTAAATGATTAAATTAATGGGAAAAAAATACTTCGAACTAAACAAAATACTTTTTATATAATGTTTACAATTTACTGTTAGATACTTATACTGTGGAAATTCACAAATTCACGAAAAGTACCTATGTATGTTTAATATAGGTATCCTATTACATACGCCTGGGTTTCCCATAAAATTTTCATCATATTCTTTTTTCACTTTGAATAATGAATGAGAACGTTTTATAAAAACTTTAAAACTGGCTACATTAGATATTTTTAAACCCTTTATAAGTAATTCAAAAATACTACTACGGAAAAAAGTCCCAAGTACCCACACAAAATCTATATTTAACTTTTCTTCTAAAACAAGAATTTTAACTATTTTTTACCGACTATTTGCTTTATTTTGTTTGTTTTTTTCACGATATAGGTACTTGACTAATTCTTTACCATCTTTAGTAAAGTTACCTTACAGCTTCTGTTTAACCGTATTATTATGCTGTACACATACGTGTTTTATCACTATCGCATTCTATTCATGAAATTCTACATCACTTTCTTTTCACTGACTCATTTCAAAATGATGATTTCATAAAGCGATTTGACAAATTATTTTTTCCAAATTACAAAAATAATTTTCGTCTACAAAAATTGCTGTTGTTATATATTAATAATAACAATTAAAAAAGAGGTGACAATTAATCAATTTAGTCTGATACCATAAATTAGCTAATAAATTGATATCTTTAGTCATATTAGATTTCTTTTGTCTTATAGGTATACACCCGTTATATTTATTAAATGCTCTATATATAAAGAAGTAAAAAGTCAATTAGTTTTGAAAACTGGAACGGTGTGTTTACCGTAAAATAACTAGGACAACTTTTTCTACCGCTTTTAGGGTAAAAGGTGTTTATCAGTTCAAATAGCTCAAATTTTTTATCGGTAAATTACTTAGTTGGAAATAATAATGCATATCTTATGTTTAATAGAAATCATGGGGCAATGTTTTCTTTATTTCTTCACACAAGTGGTTCTCAAATACTTAGATAATATTGTAATATGTGTATAACAAAATCAATAAAATAAAGTTTCGTAGTGTTTATAATAATCACCATTATTATAAATCAAATAAATACCTTTAAAAACATTATACATATCTCAGAAGTAAATTAAAAAAATATTAGTTGATACTAGAATAATTCTAATTCGTAATAAGTAATGTAGCTTTTAATAAAAACATGCGTACCTCTCTTTGAAGTCAACTTTCACATTTCGTAGTAATAAACTATTAACACATATTTTATAAGTTCTTTGGTCTTTCCTTTTTAATTCCGTCGTCAATAATTGTTTGTTCCAAATTTCTTTCACAATTTCTCTCATCGTAAGCTTAAAGAAATAAAAAATCTCGTAATAAATAATAAAATAGTAAAAGAGACCATGAACTTGTTTTAATAGTTACCCTAAGACATTCTTACAGTAGCCTTGTAACGGCACACTCAGACCAAGTAGTGGGGCTATTCTAATCCAGGGTATTTACCAAAATATATATTCAATAAAGAAAACGTTTTTTTTACTGGGCGTGAATATGTAACATTTTATCCCTTCACCTGTCAGGTTATTATAAGTAGGTATAATGTTTTAAAAATAGACTTTCATTTCTAATCGCAATTTATAATTAATAATAATAGTAAATCAATTAACGAATAAAACACGAATATTACATATCAAGTACAGCTAAATTTTTTTTTTTTTAATGTACATAATTAAAAAATCTTTTCTTTTTTACCTACTAATACCTATCGGTTTAATATGTACCTACATACTTTTAAGAGAAAGAAAATCACTTTAAGTATATGTATTGTGCAATGGAATGCATTGTATTACGGTATTTAGATATAATGTGACTGCATTATTTTATTATATAAAGTTTTACTTGAAGGTAACATTACTGTGTGTATAACCGGCACGTACATTTTTAGGTAGAAGTATGTTCAGGAGTCTTATAAAACGAATAATTAATTATTAACCTAATGTACATTAAAATATTTTTTTAAATTTTACTTGAAAATAAGAGCTTATCGTCAAAATAAATGCCTAAATCTTTCAAAATATAAACTCGACCCAGATGACATTAAATATTTTTATTCGATTAATTATTACCCAATATGCCACAGCAAAGCGTAAAAGAATATGTAGTGAATGTAAATTGTACATTCTTTATTTTTTCAAATTGTTTTCTAAAAGTTCGAATACGTATAAAAAATGCAAATCACGAATACCTTGTCTGTTAAAAAACGCTTTAGACACCCTTTGTTTTTATAGGTAGACACCTATACGATAAATAAATTAATTACTTACACTATTTTCATTTAATTATTTTTTGAATTTCCGGCAATTTTTCGACTACTCAAGTTTTTACTTGTTTTCAGATCCCACTGGAAATGATTCAAAAATTAAATGAGTATTCTAACATTGAAGACGTTCTTGAAAATTTGGTCGAAAACTACGAAAAAGAACCACCAAGTATTGCAAGTAAGTTGAAAAATAAATCATGTACGACCTTTACTAAATTATACAGGTACTAATCACATAAGACAAAATTGTAGTGCTTATTGTAGTAATACAATTCTTATGGGTTCACCGGATTACTACTTTTAATTGAGTTTATTGATTATAATTATAAATTTATCTCTGAAACTATACACAACCGAACGCTGATAGCACGCCTAGGGTAGTTCCAAAAATATCGGGGAATTACCGCAATGTATAAACATCGATTTTTGATGATGATAGCGTTCGTTTGTTCACGATATACGGTGACCTACCATAATTAGTATGCTGTTCACATTATGCAATGTTTACACTATCGAGTGTCTGGAATTGTTTTATTTTTCCTGTAATATTTACAAAACGCTTATTTGCGTCAATTATTTTAGATTTATCAGACTGGAAATAAAATAGATAAATATTATATTTTTTACCGACTATTTGCTTTATTTTGTTTGTTTTTTTCACGATATAGGTACTTGACTAATTCTTTACCATCTTTAGTAAAGTTACCTTACAGCTTCTGTTTAACCGTATTATTATGCTGTACACATACGTGTTTTATCACTATCGCATTCTATTCATGAAATTCTACATCACTTTCTTTTCACTGACTCATTTCAAAATGATGATTTCATAAAGCGATTTGACAAATTATTTTTTCCAAATTACAAAAATAATTTTCGTCTACAAAAATTGCTGTTGTTATAAATTAATAATAACAATTAAAAAAGAGGTGACAATTAATCAATTTAGTCTGATACCATAAATTAGCTAATAAATTGATATCTTTAGTCATATTAGATTTCTTTTGTCTTATAGGTATACACCCGTTATATTTATTAAATGCTCTATATATAAAGAAGTAAAAAGTCAATTAGTTTTGAAAACTGGAACGGTGTGTTTACCGTAAAATAACTAGGACAACTTTTTCTACCGCTTTTAGGGTAAAAGGTGTTTATCAGTTCAAATAGCTCAAATTTTTTATCGGTAAATTACTTAGTTGGAAATAATAATGCATATCTTATGTTTAATAGAAATCATGGGGCAATGTTTTCTTTATTTCTTCACACAAGTGGTTCTCAAATACTTAGATAATATTGTAATATGTGTATAACAAAATCAATAAAATAAAGTTTCGTAGTGTTTATAATAATCACCATTATTATAAATCAAATAAATACCTTTGTGGTCGGTGCTT